AGGTCTCTGCAGTGCATGAGCTATAATAATAAGGTAATAGTAATAATACCAAATGCATAATGCTTATTATAGGTTAGGCATGATATAAGCACTTCTTTATTTATATACATTTATATGTTAAATATGTCTCATATAAGTATATATATGTTTTATATATAAGCATATATCTATATATCTAATTCATACATATGCACACATTACTTATATTTATATAAAAGATATATACATATATATACACACACATATATACTTCTGTTGTACTTAGGCTTATTTAACAATTCTATGAGCTATGTATTATTATTTTCTTTATTTTACAGACAGGTAAACTGAGGTCAAGAGATGTTAAGTAATTTGTCCAAAGTCACATAGTCATTGACAGATCTGGGATTCAAACTGAAGCAATGTAACTCATAACCGTTAACAAAGCATCAATGTCCAGAATAAAGAAATAACTCCTGAAAATCAGTGAGGAAAAGAATAGAAGTTAGGCAAAAAATATTGAACTGGCCATTCGCAGAAGACATCTGAATGGCCTGTAAACATACAAAAATGTGCAACATCATTATCAATTTTGGAAAGACAAATTAAAACACATTGGTCAGATTAGCAAAAAAAAAAATCTACTAAAACCTGGTGTTGGGAGAACGTGGAGAATTACAGCTCCTATAATGTGGAAATTCATGCTGGAAGCACTACTCTGGAGAGCAGCTAGATGATACCTGGTAGAGCTGAAGATATGCAGCCTGTGATCCCGTCACTCCACACCTGGGCTGCAACCTTGGGGGACTGTGCATGCATACTTAGTATAGGCAAGATGCTCATCACAGTCTGGGCCACACTGGAGAAAACATGGAAACGTTAGTTCTTAGGAGGATGGATCAACAAACTGTGGTATATTCATTTAACAGGATTCTACTCTGCATTAAAACGGGTGAATTAATGTATAATCAGGGATAAATCTAGAAAAGAAAATACTGAGTGGAAAAAGTTGTGTGAAGATAGGGAGAGTATATTTGGTATATGCAACTATAACAATACTATATAGTTGACCCTTGAACAACATGGGTTTGAACTGTGAGGGTCCACTTATACATGGATTTTTTCAACAGTAAATACTACAGCACTACATGACCTGCAGTTGGTTGAATCTGAGGATGGCAAATTGTGGATACAGAGGAACCACGTAAGTTATATGCAGATTCTGGATTTCTTGACTGCAAGATGGTCGTGACCCCAACCCCTGAATTGTTCAAGGGTCAAATGTGTTTAGAGAGACACATGTATAGTACAAATGTAAGACAGTGTGGGAAGGATTCACACCAACTGCAGCTTAATGGGGAAAAGATTGAGTATATTGGGTTTGGAGAGAAGCACAAAAAGGGGCTGCCACTGCATCTTTTTTAATTTTTAAAAAAAATCTGGCAGAATGTTAACATTTGTTAGATCTGAGTGTGGGGACGTGGTGTTTTATTAAGTTAATCTCTGAAATTTTTCTCTGTATTTGAAATGTTACATTAAAAATAAACTGCTCGAAACTAACACAACATTGTAAAGCAATTATACTCAAAGATGCTAAAAAAATAAAAAACTGCTCATTTAGTTTTGAATTTTAAAATGACATCTTGTTACACATCTGCAAAACAGTAGTAAAAGCCCTTGCCTACTGAGACACCTATAAGGATAAATCCTAAAGCATTGTTTCTAGAATAAGAATATTCTCCTAACACAATTTTAATGCCTCAGAAACACTTTGTGTTCTTTAATCTGCGGTCGCACCTGATGTTGGAGAGTAAAAAACCTCCAGAAGGCTTCAGAAGCAGTGGTTCTAAGATGTAATCCCACTGGCACCACGGTTCCTCTGGCATCACATTATACGGTTTACTATATGCCAGGCACTGTGTAAGTGCTTTACACATCTTAATTCATTTATTCTTCCCTAGAACCCTATCAGAGAGATAGATAGGTTTATTATTTCCATTTTATAAATTATTTTCACTTGATAATTGAGGCATGGGCAGATTAAGTAACCTGCCCAAGGAAACACAACCATTGAACAGTAAACTCAAACCCAGGTAGTCTGGCTCCAAAGCACAGTTCTTAACCACTCACTGGACTAAAGGCTGTGTGTGGTCTGGGTGAATTGATCTTGTACCCTCCCCTGTGAAAACTCACCTTAGTCTTCCACCCAGCTACCTTCTTCTTCCATCCATCACCCCTGACATTCTCGCCTACTTTCTCATAATCTCCTCTATTCTTCCGTTAAGCATAGAAAATGCGGGAGAAAAGGGCCAAATTAATGGTTTTGGAGGGGAATACTTAAGATCTGAAGTTGTCTATCGATGGCCAATGAAATGTCATACTTAGTTCATTTCTAGGTGGCCTTGATGGTGGTATAACGTTCATTTGGTGGAATATCTGTGTGATCATGCAGCCATTGGCTGTACATTGTTTTGTACTGAAAAATAATGCTAGAAGTTAGTTATATTTGGTGTCAACAACACATATCTTTTGAAGGTGTATGTATTAGCAATTTTCCTAAGCACCAGTTTAAGAGACAGTGTAACAAACAGAGTAGTTTACATTTATATTTTAAACTTGTGGCTTTAATTCATTGCCTAATGTTCAAAAAATGAACTGAAGCCTGCTGATTATATAACTTTAATATTTGAAAAAAATTTATCCAGAAATTAACAACGTAATACAATACACATTTGTACAAAAAAGAGGGACTGTTAAAACTTCTGATCATACAGACAAAAATATGATTAATTAAGGAAAGATTAAAAAAGGACAGGACATTTTGTAAATACTGATAAATACTGTGCAATGCTTTAATTTACTGTGGCAGATACAAAAATCAAGAATTCATTAACAGATTATATATAAAAAAAAGCAACTATACGAATTTTCTAGCTGTTTAAATTAACGAAAGGTAACAGTAGTGGTTCTTTTAAAAAATGAGGTATTAATTACACTGTAAACCAAAACCAGAGCATAAATAAATAAAGGCAATGTGCAATTTAGTGATAAATGATTATAAATTTCAACAACAGACAACAAAAATTTTCCAGTTATTTATGGACTCTGTCATTTAAAAATCTGGCTTGCTTGTGTACTTATTTAAAAATGACATAGCTATTGATATACAAGCACATCATTAAACATGCAGACCAAACCAACACAAGTTTTCCATCTCTACCAAATAAAAACTCTGTTTACATTTTATTTAAAACACTTAAATCTGGTTTCTTACACATGATTCTTTTGTGCTTATTAGTTAGTAGTAACCTATGTTAAAATCTTACTTTCTAGTTCAAGCAGTGTAAGAGAGAAGCAGTTTTATTTGCATATGGATTAAAAACAGAGCAAACAAAACCAAACCAACATGCCTTTAACTCTTAGGTGTTCCAAAAATTGTAAGAAGAAAAATCCTTTAAACAGTATGTCCAAGTGGAAAAGCGGAGTCACTTCTGTCTCAAGAGAATAGTAAACTCACTAACTCCCTTTCCTCTAAGATTCACAAGTTGGCTTCAGAAAAGCAGAACAAGCTGATTAGTTCCTCCACCCTAAAAAAATTCTGCTGGTGGGGTGTAGGAAGCATAGTAATAAGATAGGAGTGTAACTCAGAAAAAATTTGGGGCAAGTATTATTTGCATGTGAACCATGTGCTGGTACTAAGTGCTGGCTTCATTATTATTGCAAATATATATTCAGAGTTTTCTGAAGGAAAGCTATCAAAGTATACTAGAGAATTCTTGATGTGGAAATATCTACAACATGCTAATAAAACTGCTTCATGTGCTGTAAATTAAAAAGAAAACCATTTACTGTCTGACTTAAAAAAATGCAGTTTCTTTTTACATGCTACTTTATTGAGAAACTCCAAAAAGGGGACTTTTGAATTTGCTATATTCAGAATCCAGTGGAAAACAAACATTTCGGCCAAAATGTTGAACTTCATTTTTACACCAAGCTACGTAATTTGGACACAAATATTATTGTATTCACTTTTGTCAAATATCTTATCCTACTTTTTCCCAAAAATTAGTGTTTCAGTACAACTGGTGATCAGAAAATATTAGAAATAAGTCTTGTACATCAATCAAAGTATATATAAAAACAGTTCTTTTTCTTGTGCTTGTAATTGACTTAATTTATCAGTGATTAGTCAGTTCTATTTCCTTTCTATATAATATTCTGACCCTTAAGAAGAAATGATTATACAAATATTACAGAGTACTCAAAGTAACTAGCTTACTGTGCATATGCATGCAGACTAACAATATGTAAAAGAATATAACCTTGAATCCAATTAGTCTGAAAATAGTTACACTCTTGTACAATCATCTTTATTGATTTGTAAAAGCTGTATACACATCTAAAACCCTGAATTTACTTTGTAAAAATAAATCTTTAGCAATAAATGGCACTATCAAAATCCCATTATTCTCAGGCTATTATGTAGTTATTTACACGCTTTTCAGCAACGGTTGAAAAGAATCTAAGAGGACCAAAGCCAGTATATCAAAAAACCCTGTAAATTGCATTTGCAATTATACTGTTGTTTAACCGCTATATGAAAATATGGCTACATGCCTTACATTAATGATAATGTAGCTATCTGTGTTGCTACTGTGTGCTAGCAGCGCACAAGGTGCCACTGGTCTCCACTCTGTCGTCTCTGCATTCTTTACTGCACGATGCTTTCCCGGTGGAACACCTGTGACAAACTACTTATGGAGAATGATAAAGTGCTATAAAAAAGAGGGACTGGACCCACACCTGTCTCTGCCATCTGGTCTTTTTCTCACTCAAGCAGTGTTGTGTTTTTAGAAAACCATGCCTCTACTGAACATACTTCATATTTGATTTTAAAAAAATCAGTATTTTAAAGTTGGTGAGCTTTGTCAAGGTGTTTTGAGACAGAAACATGAAAAGGTTAAAGGCACAGTAAGAGGGAAGTGAATGCTACATATAAAATATATTTCAAGTCTTCTAGGTTACTCAAGTCCAAAACCTTCTGAATTTGAAATTCCAATAATCAATTTCTGTTTCAGGTCCTTTTTGCTCTTGTAGGGGGGAAGGCAAAGTTGATTGAAGCAGGTGTGGGCCACAGGCAACCTAGAGAAAAAAATTTTTTTTAAAGATACCAAGTCCTAAAACAAACACAGAATGACTGGTAAGCAACTTTTCAAGTACCTGGATACACACATTCAAATCTATTTTACTATAATGAGATGACTCATCCACTCCTTTACTGAACAAATACTTTTGGAGTACCTGCTGTGTATTAGGCACCATTCTAGACACTGGGGCTGGGTTTACCAACAAGACAATGTTCCTGCTCTCACAAAACTTATATTCTATAGGCATTATTTTTGGAGTCAGACAAATCTGAATTTGAATACCATCTCCTGCACTTTCTGGCTGTGAGACCTTGTTCAAGCGGCTTCATGTCTCCAAATCTCAGTTGCCTCATCACCATCATAAGGCAAACTATTTGAATGGGTGGGAAGATGAAAAGAGCTATCTACATAAAACACCCAGCAGAACAGTAGATAATATAACTGTTACTACTTTTTTAGTCTTGATTGTCAAAAAATAATAAAAAGAACATTTCTGGGACACTTGATACCCATGCTTCTCATGTTGCTGCCCTCAAGGTACAAGCAACATTCATCCTCTGAGTCTTTTTGTTCAGCTCTCCCAACCCTCTACCCGATGACACTGTTATCTTTATTCAAAATTCCTACAGATTTCTTAGGCCCTTTCCCTCAGTCTTTAGGAACTCCACAGTATCAGAACAGCTGGCGGTGAGAAAAGAAAGGACAGATTTCAGTTCTAATTTATGAAAGGAAGAACTGACAAAGCTCAGGGAATATATGGGGCAGGAGAAAAAAATGATTATAATCAAAGTAGTGTCTACTCAAATTAGCTTTAGAAATTACAAGCAGATTGGGAAAAGAAGTAAGTAGATTAGCATTAACCCATCAACACTATAGAAAATAATTTATAGCCATCATCGGCATCACTTCCATATGCAAAGAGCACTAGATAAAGAAAAAAAGACTAGCACTAGAGGTATTCCAGCACAAGAACTAATTATAATAGCCAAAAAACTCACCTTAGTGTTTTAAATAAAAAACACCTTTAAGTAAAAATGAAGGTTAGATAATCTACTATGAAAAGCAAGCTAGATTCTGGAAGCAACTACAAAGCAGTTGACTTATCAAAGTAAAAAGTTGATGCACAGCAATTATTATCAGTTTGTACTGGTAGTTCTCAACATTCATACAGAACCTTAAGCCACTGTCTCTCTTATTTCAAAGCCATGCTTACTCCCAAGATTTTTCTATGAAAACAACTTCAGAATCAAAGAATCCTCTAATTCCAAACATATTATTATTAGCAAAACCTACAGATTAAAAAAATTACAATTTGGAAATTTACCAGTTAGTAGAAGTTTCATTCTTTGAGATTTTAAAGTTCAAATCAGCCATTCCTCCTACAGGTACTCTGTCACTTCCTGTGGTAAAATGTAGCAACTTCTTTTGAAGATCAAGAGGAAATCCAAGCACAACATCCCAAAAGTATCTAGAGAACACCAAAGGATATTTACATAAAATGTCTTGACAAAAATCCTGCAGATCAGAATAAAGTAATATAAAGTAAGCTCTAGGGAAACAACTTCCCTTAAAGGTACATAATACCCTTAAATTGAGGAATGACAGGCTTCTGATATAAATTAGATTTTTGACTAACATCATTATAAAAATAGTCCAACAGTAGGGAGTACAAAAGCCATTTTTCTCCTATATAATTTTCCTTATTTTTCAACACGGTGCTATTAAAAGGCTATTTATAAGCATGGCATCCCTGCAATTCTGGAACCAAAGTAATTAAAAAAAAAAAAGTCAAATCTCTATACTTTTGTAGAAACTTACTTATATTACTTTCTCCTAAGGGGACTGCTAAGTGATTTCATATTTAATATTCTCACATTATTTTCAAGAGATAAAATAAAGCAGTGTGGGCTGTACAGTATTTCAGCTGACTTAACTTGATTCAAAGATTGTAAGTTATGCAAATAAACGAACCACATTCTCTTTCATTCCCTCTTCAGCACCCTCACTCTCAGAAGTAAAAAAAGCTCACCGTATAGTCAGGTCAGTTTTCGCATAGCCATCATACTGAGTACTTCTCTGCAGGGCGTGCATATCCAGTTCAGGACTTCCACAGACCAGAATTTCAACCTCTTCTGGACGAAGCAGCTGCCAGTAATTATTTATCAAAAATGATAAGAAAAAGTGAAATTGGAACTATTTTCACTGAACCAAATAACAAAAATCATGACGTTCTTATAGTAAATCAAACCATTTTTGTTAAAGAAAAATCTCCATTTATATTTTTCCTACTAAGGTAAGGTATTTTTGCTTCTGAAAGTTTATAATTGTCAAACTGTTAGGTTCCCCCTTTTGCAAATAATAGCAATTAGCAGTTTGCCAGAAAAACAAGCAGATGACTAAGCATAAATCCAAATTACAACTCTTCCCTGAAACCCAGCCTGAAACTCTTTCAGCTATCAATACTCTAGCATCTATTGACATGCCTGGTTCCAACATCCATAAAGCCTCCTGTGTACACTGTAGAGTTTGAGTAGTAGGTTAGTGTATCTTTGTTGTTCACTTGTTTTTTTTTCACTTACATAGGTTGTCTCCCACCTAAAGAGATTACAATTTAAAAACAGAGACCTGCTATGCTATTTATTTATTTTCCCTCCCTCCACCCCCATAACTACAGTGCGTCACAGACAAAACTCAATTTGAAATCAACAGGTGCTCCATTTCCAAAGGTACTTTCAATAAACATGTGACAAAGATCACTCTAAAACAAGCTCTCTCCTATGCAAAATAATTCACATCGAAGACCTTGCTCCCAACCCCCCTTATAAAACTGCATGGAGGTGCAAATGGCTTGATGGAGTGTGCCCAGGGGAGCAGCGGTGAAGAGAAACTACGCTTTTATCTTATGACATTTCCGACATAGTGTTCTCAACAGCAACTGACCCATACTCACAAGGCTAAGAAAAAGTCAAACCAACTGGAGTCCACCATGACTCTGGTGACAAACTACATCCTGTGGGTAAAAGGCAACTCAAGAGTTGCTGGGGGGACCCCTGAAGAGGCAGGAAGCAGTTATAAACCTGTTCCTTAAACAGTAAGAAGGTGTGGCTTTTGCCCTGGAGCTTATTGTTGACTAGTTTCTGTGCTTTGCCCCACAGTATTAAAGACCTGGAGCCCTTGGGATCTCTTCATCCACTCTGCTTGAGGAAATTTTTTAAAGCCTTAAAAACCATAGTATAAGACATAGTGTAAGGTGGAGTGGGGTGGGGAGGGAATGGAGTTGACTCGTCTTTTTTCCCTTTAGAAAGTTAAGGCTGAAATGAGAGAATTATTTTTATTTCTAGTTCTGACTTTAAAAACTAGAAAACTGACTAGCGACTCTGTTGTGAAGTGCCTGGTGTGAGTCCTCCCCACGCGGCACCCTATGAGCAAGTGAAACAAGACTAAGCACAAAGGAAAAGAAAAGAAAAGAAGAAAAGAGTCTTCACAGGCTGGTAGCCGAAGAGGAAGCCAGAGAGTTTCCAAGTACATGTTGCTGCTGGCTTTGAAATGGAGGGGAGCATATGAGAGAATCGGAGAGAGCTGGGAGTCACCCCATCCAAGTCTTCCAGGAAATGGGAACTTTAGTCCACAAACACAAGGGACTGAATTCTGCCATCAATCTAAATGAGCTTGGAGGTTTGTATCCAGGCTGTGAGGGAAGAGGACAATACAAGTTGATGATCAATGATTTGTCTACAGACTTCAAGCCATATCTGTGGAACTCTTTATATATACATATATATATATATATATATATATATATATATATATATATATATATATATATATATATATTTTTTTTTTTTTTT